CTCTTTCTTTCTTTCTTTCTTTCTTTCTTTCTTTCTTTCTTTCTGTTTTTCTTTCTTTCTTTCCTCCCAACAATCAGCTGTTCCGACAATCAGCTGTGCCGGGATGCCCCTCACTATCTTACTGCTTCCATGAGGACCAGGAGGCCAAAATATGGAGTAAAGGGGGTGTTTTTAGCATCCTGGGCCTCAGGGAAGCCAAAATGGGCTCCCAATAGCATGGGGTGGTGCTGCCCCCCCCAAAAAAAGGGGTGGGGGGAGAGAAGCCACACCCACCCAGTCACATGGCCCCGCCCACCTGGCCCCGCCCACACGCCACCCCTGTTCCACTCTGTGGTGCTGAGCCGGGTGTCGTTCGCTCCAGGGCTCGCTTCTCTGCCCAGGAGACGAAGGGAGAGGAAAGGTACCTACTTCCCGACATAAGGAAGACTCCTTTGGGGTCCACGGCTAGGCAGGTAACCGCATCCAGGTGAGCCACCATAGAGTGCACGGCTTTTCCTGGGCGAGAGGAAGGGAGAGGAAACATGGTTAGGGCGGGGCCGTTTTCTTTTCCAGCCCTGAAAGAGGAGGGGGGGGGGGGGGGGGTCACTTCCGCCCTTGGGAAGGAATCAGAGTATCTGTAGCTCAGCCCATTCCTCACTAACACTGATGAGGCTGCCTAGCTGGCTAATGAAATGTCTGCAGGAAAACAGCCAGGTGCAGAGAACACCAAGGACCCCACAGTCGTTGTTTCTTCTTCTTCTTCTTCTTCTTCTTCTTTCTTCTTCTTCTTCTTCTTCTTCTTTTTCCTTCTTCTTCTTCTTCTTCCTTCTCCTCCTTCTTTCTTCTGCTTCTTCCTTCTTCTTCTTCTCCCCTCCTCCTCCTCCTCCTCTTCTTCTTCTTCTTCTCCTTCCTTCTTCCTTCTTCTTCTCCTCCTCCCCTCCTCTTCCTCCTCCTCCCCCCCTTCCACTTCTTCTTCTCCTCTTTTTCTTCTCCTCCTCTTCCCCTCTCCTTTCTCCTCCTCTTCTTCTTCTCCTCCTTCTCCACCTCTCCTCCTCCTCTTTCCTCCTCCTCCTCCTCCTCTTTTTCTTCTTCACGTTCCCCCCCCCCCTCCACCCACTGATCTTACGTAGTTGTGTTAGGAAACCCCTGCAAGCAAACAACCAAGATCACAGAGCACCAGGGTCCCCAGTCTTCCTCCCCGCTTCTCCTCCTCTTCCTCCTCCTTCACTCCACAATCCTCCCTCCCTTTCCTAGCACTGATGACGTTCCCTAGTTGGGTCATGAAATGTCTGCAGAAAAGCCACCCAGCTCGGAGAGCCCCAAGGACCCCTTGAAGGAATCGGAGGCCGTAAATCCCACCCC